TATTACTATTGTCCTTGAATGTGACATATTGTAATATATCTCAATAAAGACTATTTAAAAACAAAAAAAAAAAAAAAACTTTGCTACCTATACTAGGTAAGGAAAGTATTGCGATCGGGTGAAATTTCCGATATGCGGTTTTCGACGGATCTATACGTTTCAGAGCCCCTTAAGTCCGAAAAACACATTTTTAGCCATTGGTCTGCCTGTCTGTCTGTCTGTGCCAAGATTTTCTCGGGAACTACTGAACCGATTTTGTTGCTTCTTTTTTTATTTTGTAGAGACTACTGATGCCTTTGACAGAAATTCGGTTCTCCGTGCGCAATAAATGAAAAACATGTTTTTCTATAGACTGTTGCGCGTAAAGAAAAGAAAAATGTTATGGGACCTAACTAGCTAGTTATATATTATACGGTAAAATTTATAATAAAACTTTTGAAAGGTAATTAAATTACCAACAAAACAAAAAAAAAAATCATCGGAATCGAATCAGTATTAGCGATGATATAGCATATTATATGTTCTACATGTTTTAATTTATTACTTTCCTACCTATACTTATTTTTTTTTATTGAGTATTACAACAATCAGTCACATGGACACTAGTTATAGTGAGATAGGACAACATTCACACTATATGTACAAAAAATATAAAATAAATAGAAGCAAAATAACAATAAATAATAATCAAAAAGTATATACAATAAATAAAATAAAATAACCTACAATTAAGAAAATTAAAACTTAAAACTGCAATAAACACATGCATACCTATATACACTATCTATCTATACTGGGTAAGGAAAGTATTGCGATCGGGTAAAATTTCCAATATGCGGTTTCCGACGGATCTATACGTTTCAGAGCCCCTTGAGTTTAGCCTAAAAATAATGAAATTCCCTACAAAACTATATAAAAATCGTTCATTTTGGACAACTATTAACGAAGTTACAGCTATTCAATTTCCAATGTAAGATTACGGGTTCATATCCTGGTGTCAAAAAGGGGTGAATGAGAGAAAAAAGATGACTAAGTGAAAATAACAAAATCTGTTGCTCGCATCACACAAGCTTCAATATTTCCTCTACTTTTTACATAAATTATTGTTTGACAATACTAAGCTATGGCAAAAAGTTTTTGATCAGCAATATTAGGAGTATTGAAATTTTCATACTGATCTACTTTGAGCCGGTTTACATTGCTTTAGTTTATCAAATAAATCGTAATCAAATCTTTTCTTTGATCAATTTTCAGGAAAATAAATCTAATTCAATTTCTTTTTTTGGTTTCTTCATGAACATATGTAAACATATAAAAACTTTTCTGAAATAATTAGAAAAGTCATGAATGGACACACCAGATTTTTTTTATTTAATCCAATTCTCAATATTCATAACCAAAAGATATAATAATATATAATTTTAATTAACGGCGCTGATGGCCAACAGGTTTTACGCCTTTACTATACAACCAATCAACTTCAACGGTTGTATCATGCAGTAACAAGTTATTTACCAAAATATTTTTATTTGATTTCCTTCCTTTACAAAATCATTTTTAGAAATATTCCGGGTCGACAGAATAGGATATACATTATTAGGAGATGATACATGATATGTATGATTGAAAATTCATCTTGCTTCTAAAGTATTATGAGGCAATAAACGGCAAAGACAATTACTTTATATGCTATTTTAAAATTTACCGTCGATTAATTTTATGGAAATAATTTATTCTCTTTTGTCATGAATCAGGTTCAGTATTACCACCATATTTTATTTTTTTAATTTCGGCTTTGGGTCAGTCAGATTTTCCATTTTTACTATCAACACAACCTTAAAAATCAATGGAATATTCATATCGGTAATAGATGAATAACTTTATTAAGAAGCCTTTATTAGAAAAAAAAAATAGAAAAATTAGCTTTCTGGTGAAACCCATAAAATTCACAAAACTTCACTTGACGCACTATTCACAGGTTTCAAAGATATGTAACTATTCGGTCTATATCTGTTTCACTTATATTATTAATAAATAAATTTATCTGGTAGGCTTTGATTATAAAAATAGTTCCTTTTTTTTTCTTTCCCAACCTCGTAATTTCCTTAAAAAAGGAAATTTTTCACCAAAGTGAAAATCTTGTTTAAGATAAATGAAATAAATGTGTGGCGTTTGACTGATATCATTTGGATATAAATTGCAAACGCGAAATCGTATTGATCATGTCTTGATATAATAAAGGTGGCAAAATAGTTTAATTAATGTAAAATTTGTAATGGCGAAACTTTGACAAAAACTTAATATAAAAACTCTGGTGCGGTGCGCACATCACACAACTTACACTTACCACCCTCTTCTTAGCAAAAATAAGTATTTTCAGATAAAAGGGGTGTGAATGTAAAAATCATAAACGCTATATTGATTTATATTTCATTGTGGATATTTTTATTAGTTTAAGCACCCTTATATATACAAATTTTAATATTCAATATCCCTGTAATCTATACAATTAAATATTAAATAATTAATTAATGAAATATTAATTTTACACTGATATAATATAAACTGAAACGTCAGCCAAATAAGGTCAGCATCTTCCTCATCAATATCTTCCTCACCGTATGCATTGGTTAAAAAATATCTATATTACAAGGTATACAATTTTTCGCGTGAGAATAAAATTTTTGAAAAAAGACATTTTCAGAAATTCTGTAATCCCTCAACATTTGATATCCACGAGTTTTGTTTATCAGCGAATACTAGCATGTGAAAAAGATCCGCATAAGTAGATTGCATATTTGCTGATTTGGGATTAAAAACACTATTCTCCGAAATTCTTCCAAGTTTGGGTCAAATTGAACACGCAGTTTTCAAACTATAGGCTTTTCAAACAATACATTTGCTGATCTGAAAGCACAAGTTTTTTTTAGGAGTAGTGGATAGAATTTGATAAAATTCATACCTAATTGATGATCTGTTTACCAATTCCTAACTTCTCTCCACATTTGAACCACATCGAATATGGAGTTTTAGAGATATAGACGTCAGAAAACGCGTCAGAATTCAATCAAATTGACATTACGTTATTTTTTCACCATTATCTACCTTTTATTCGACTTTGAGCAAAATCGAACAAGCTCTTTCTGAAATATCTAAAAAAGTACGTTTGCGCGTGCTTAAGCGGAAGTGCTGAATGGAATTTGATAAAATTGATATGGGACCATCTAGGCACCAAAATGCATAATCCCTGAAAATTAAAATACACTCACACAGAGCATTTTGCGAGATTTAGTTATTTAGACCTCAAAACATGTATTTCCGTTGAAAACTCAGATTCGAAAATTTTCACGATCGCAATACTGTCCCTTACTATCGGTTCCGAAAATAACAGAATAAATAATAATACCTGCCACAGCCAATTTGATTAAAAGGGGTCTGCAATTTGATTAAAAGGGGGTCTGTAGCACGTATTATTTTATTTTAAAATATTTTTTTAAGGAGGAAAAGAGTCGAGATTTATATTTCGCAGCTCGAAAGACCCTCGAATGCCAAATTTCATTTCCATCGGAAAATTTTTTTTTTTACATATTTGAACTAAGGCCCCTCTTTGGTTTTATTTCGAAAATCACAAAATCAAATGGGCTTGTAAAGTTGTTGGGCTTAGTAACGAGAGAATTCCTAAAAGGTTAATATTTGCTGTGCCGAATGGTAAGCGTCCGAGGGGTAGACCGAAGCGAAGGTGGGAAGATTGCATTAAAGCCGATCTGAAGGGACTGGGTTTGGACGGTGAACGGTGGAGGGAGGTGTGTAACAAGCGATTGGTGGTGTCGGCATCGAACCTTCGGGTTCGCTAAGCCTTATTATTATTATTTACCTGCCACAGCCATTAGAAACTCGCTAAGACTCCGATAAGAGAAGCGAAGGAAATCGGCCTACAAGTAAATTAAGACAAAACAAAATATTTGATAATAAGCCGAAAATTCTTCCAAAAAAAAAAAAAATCTTTCCCGAGAGTAGAAAAACTCAAATAACTCTGTTAGAATTGAACGACAAATGACCTCAATGGATATAGATCAATCGGAAATAGACCAATGTATAACTAGCGCAAACAGAACTTTCTTCTTCTATTGAAGCGTAAACAATAAAGAACTACTTACAGAAATTGGCCAATCAATATCCCGTGGTATGAAAGCAAGGATGTTAAGATGGGCGAAGCATGGAGAACAATATATCTGGAACCCTCTACACAACAATGAATGCCTCAATATTAGGCAAAAGACTATGTGGAAGGCCAAAATGCAGATGGATATATCGAATCTACAAAGATGAAATATGCGTGAAGATAATTGGAAAGAAATAGCCCAAGACAGGCAGAGATGGAGTACGCGGAAAAACATCTACGAGTTCTGTAACGCCAACAGAAAAAAAATATATATTTTCGCATTTCTTGAAAAAAATTTCAATAATGAGATAGAACGCCGTTTAGAAATAAATGACTCATGTCTTTCAGATACCTATAAATTTTGATTCTAAAAAAGTTTTATTTATATGATATTTACAACTGTATACAAAAAATACATCTAGTAAATTCGCACATGGATATAATGACATGAAACACATGTTGAGAAACTACCCATTGGTAGCACTCTAATAATATGTCTATATTAGGAGACCACGTGGCTATATTCTTTTCAGACGCTTCGGAGGGTTATCAGGAATTGAATAGGAAGCAACATTAGAAACAAGAGGTTTGGGATGATTATGAAGTTTATCTTAAAAAGTAATATCAAAAATATAATTAAACCTTACGTGAGAATGGTTCATCAACGACTGAAGGCATTGTAATACAAAAAAAAGGTACTTTAATGCCCATCATCTACCCAGGAACCCGAAGCAATCCACATCTTGCTGGATAGATTTCCTACTGCGACCTTCGACCTCCCCCCCCACTCGGTCCGAATATATAAATACTGTATTCGTCCTCAATCGGGGAGTCTTATCTCACACAACCATGGCCACCTACTTGTGTCTGTTCCTCGTCGTCTTCGTGGTATCTGGGTCTTTAGCAGCCATACGTGAGTATCTGACAGTATCTTTAAGGATCACAGAGAAATATCTTTACTAAATTATCAAAATAAATATTTTTACTGACATTAAAATTTAAAAAAATTACTCAATTGATCCACAAACGTCATGTGGAATTTAGGGTCATTTCTTATAGAATACATCTACATGAAATGACAAACTCCCGACCTCCGTTAACAAATCAGAACAAATATAAAAAATAAAACTGTTTGAGTTTTTTTCTTTATTCACAGCTGATAAAGAAATGGTATCTAAAACCACTTTAGAGAATATCAAGTAGTATTTAATTTTTTTTAATTTGATGAATATTTATATATATTTATTCCGTACAAAAAAAGAATACGATAGTTATATGATAAATATAGATCTGGACAAAAAAACAAAAAACAAAAAACACGAATCTACTTGCTTTTTCAAAAAAAAAAAAAAATACTTGGCCTGATTTACTAGAAAGTACTTTTCTTCTTCTTTTTTTTTTTTAATTTATGATAAATTATAAATCCTTTGACACTATGGACAAAATATTTCTTAATCTGTCCAAAAGAAATGAAAAAGAAACCGATAGTTATATAATTAATAACATAAGAGATCCGGTCACACTAAAATAAAATAACATACATATTTTATTTATTTATTTTTTTAAAAATTTATATACACTTTTTGATTATTTTGCTTCTATTTATTTTATATTTTTTGTCCATGTAGTGTGAATGTTATCCTACCTCACTATAACTAATGTCCATGAGACAGACTGTTGTAATACTCAATAAATAAATAAATAATTATTTAAAATAATTTTTTCTGACCTAAAGTCCTTTGAAACGAACGCCGGGAAGTGGGCAATATAGTGGGATAACTTATCAAAACAGTTATACATTTTTACGGACATGAAACTTAATTAAGTATATTTTATTTATATATTACCATCTTTATAAGAAATAATGCAAGCAGGGTAGTTTTGAGTAGAATTTTAAGGGAATGTGGGATTCAGTGAGACAATTTTATATGTTTATTTTAATTATCAAATCTACTTTTGTGGAAATGTTATAGCAACCTTAATCTAAACTATATACAAGGTGTATCGTGAGTAGAAATATTTAAACTGATGATAACAGAATTTAACAGCTATGAAAAAGCTCATATAAACAATGGTCCGATTTTACACAGAAAAGTATGGAAATGTTAAGTCATTTTTAAGTATGTCACATTGTTTGTTGAATACGAAGCAATAAGAAATATTTAATTTAAGTAATTCAAAATAGCTCCACTATAAACCAGACAAAATTTCCTTTAAAGAAAAGATGAGTTTGAACTAATTCAAACCATTTAAAAAGGACTTTTGAGGGGATAAACTAAGCTATTTTCTGTTTTTTTTTTTTTTTTTTAAATCATGAACTATTTGTAATTTCAACAATTATTTTTTTGAAAAGCACAGGTTATTCCGCTTTAACAAAAACATCCATGTTTAATAACTTTTAGGTCTATATTGTTTAGGCTGGGAATTTATTACGAAATAAGTTGAGATTCACCTCAATCAGCGCCTTATCAGCGTTTTTAGCACAAATAACCACAATAAATTATTGCAAAGTTATAATTTAGTTTTTCGCATGATCTGGGATGTATTATAATAAACATAAGTGCATAAATACACCTTTATTAACAAAAAAAAATTATTATCCAAAGTGATGATGAAACTGTGATTTTTACTCAGTTAAAATAATTCAAACCTGGCTTACTAATGTTTTTTAATAATAAGGAAGTTTTTCTTAAATTGGTGTAATTGAATTTTTGTAGAAATGGGATAAAAAAAATATATCTCGAATATTTTATCAAAATTTCGAACAAAAACAAAAGTTATCATATATTATCCGTTCAAAAGTTCGCTTTAAATATTTGTAAAATGACAGATTCTATTTTCTTTTTATCTAGTTTAAAGTGAAGTAATTATTAATTAGTTACATTTTTACTTTCACTTACCTATATCTGTAATATATAGTAAGGGGAAGTATTGCGATCGTGAAAATTTTTGAATCTGAGTTTTCAACGGAAATACATGTTTTGAGGTCTCCTGAGTCCAAATAACCAAGTCCCGCAAATTGGTCTGTGTGTGTGTGTGTGTGTGTGTGTGTGCGTGTTAGCAGTCTAGCTAAAAAAAAAAAAAGTCGTACGAAACTGATATTACGTATTTAAGATAGATATCTGCCTTAGATGTGACGGCAACTTTTTTTATTAAAATCGCCTAACCGGAAGTGCCACTTTATATCAACGCTGAAACACATTTTTACAATTTTCCCAAAAACGGCTTTAACGATTTTGATTAAACTCGATGTATCATTGTATAATTATGTCATCTTTAATATCATTCAGATCTTATCCTCGTTGATGTCACTTTGTAGGACTTAAATGGCCAATGTTCGTACATCTTCATCTATAGTACCTTTAATATGGTTTATTTAAAAAAATTAACTCCATCTTATTGACAGTAACTATAAAAAATGGCTAAATATTAAGTTTGAAAGAAGATGATAATTAGAAACTGGAGAAAAAAAGAAAAATGCTTATCCAGGTTTAAAAGGAATATCCGGAAATTAGTAGTCAGAAGGTATACGTATAATATATCGTCGGAAAGCGGAGAATTTTAGAATAAGTAATACCAAATAAATAAAGATGTAGAAGGTAATGGAAAATAGCGAAAAATATATAAATAATAATTTCAGAAAACTAACATTATTTATCGTAAATAATGTTTCCAATGAAATTAACTGAATTTTTCTAACTAAATGTTAACTTTTAAATTTTTTCTAAGTTTTTTAAAAAAAGTATTTTTTTTACCTAATCAAGCCAATGCCATTGTATAAAATACTATTTCATTTTACTTGTGTGAAAGAAGAAGTGAAATATAAAAATATTTCATGGATATATTTATAACATTAAATATAGTTACGGTAATTTAATAACTCTACATATGATATTATATATTTAAATAATTAGGTATCTATCGGCCGTTTATTCCGAAATTCTTCAAGTAACCTCTTAGAAAATTAAATTAGTGAATAATTTGATGAATTTTCCCTTTGTGAAATCCGATATTATTATCTACTTACAGTTAGTGTGACAAGCTTTGACCTATCCATGGGAGACAATGAAAATCTCGTAATTTTATTTTTGTAATCTTAACAATGGAAAATAACAGTTCAATAATTATTAGTCTAACAGTCGATAATCAATTATAGTTGAAAGGCTGAAAGAGACTGAAGTCATGTGGATAATAAAAGCAGATAGAGTGACTAGATTTTTATTGCCTACCGTCGATGTAATAAATATACTTTATGTAATTTTAATGGTCTTAATGATTTGTTCTCTGTAAGCTTTAAGCTTTAGCTCCGTTCTAAATGCACTTCAAAAATTTTATAATATCCCAACAATGCCAGAAAATAATTTCTATTCAAAATAGAGCGTTAAGTCAAAGTTGTGTGTTGCACGCACAAGATTTTTTTTAGTATCACTTCATTTTTAACAAAAAACGTGACAGTAAAAAAATCACAAAACTGCTGAAAATTGGACTACTATTTAAATAAACTTCTTTGTAGCTCTTAAGTTCTGCTATCACCCTTTTAAATATTTACCCCTACTTGCCATGTAGACACAAACCCTCTCCTGGAATTATCACATTTTCCACATCGCTCGACGATCAATTTCCACTCTGAAATTATTCCATGGCTTCCGCCATCTTCTACCAGAACCTACCCGAAGACTCTTTAGTTTCTTCTCTCATCTTCTCCAACTTTGATGACGGCTGTGTGGTATACGACGGCCGCTCAGTGGTTCTCGGTGACAGATTGAGAAGACTAATTAACAGCTTTGTCAGACTTGTTCCCAAGACGTCCCATTGTCTCCCACCGTAAATTCTCCTGTGCTTCCATAGACAATATTTATTAGGCACATCCCTCTATCAAATTATCAACCGTCACCCCTCCAATACCTATGATCTTGTCCAATTCAAGTCCTCTGTCCACTCTCTCATCACAAGATCTCGATCTTCTGAACTTTATACTCCTTTTCACAGATCTGCCTCTTTTCAAAACTCTGCTCTAATGGATTCCCAAATTATTATTCTATATTTTTCTAGAGCCCTAAAAATAATTTATTTTGTATTCGATTATTTCTTCAAACCTTTCAGCCCTTCCGATGCGCCCCTAACATAAATATTTTATACTTTTTGATAGCCATGAAGTGATTGGCCATTCTCTAAAGTCACTTAGCCCCGAAGAACGTTATTTTATATATATCTAAATTTTTGAGCCGACCGAAGGGTCCCCCCCCATATATATGTTTTCTTTTTATAGTGAACAATAAATTATATTATATGGCCAATTGGTACTGATTTTTTTATATAAATTAATACCAATCCAATTATGAACTTGGCTTCTGAATCTAAAAGTGACAATGAAATGTTGATCGGAGGGAGTGGTCAAATAAATACTAAGTTATAGAAATAGTATTATTTAATAATTATGCCGACGTTTCGACCCACCTTGCAGGTCTTCATCAGGGCGTGGGATGTGGCTCTGGGGGAGACAGTTAAAACACTTACTTAGTATTTGACCGCATCCAACTCCTTGGTCGACCATCTCTACATCATTATGAATGCATTACCGCGGGGTCAACGAAATTATTATTTAATAATTTAAATACATAAACAATTCTTATTATTTACAAAATGTTCATCCATATCCATATCCATGTCCTGAATATCCTTATTTTGTGTTTATCTAGTACCGTTGTATGTTTGACCACAAAAATAATTGTTTGGGTAAATTTATTATTTATTTAAATTTCTGGAAATCACTTTTATGTATATATATATATATATATATATATATATATATATATATTTGAAGTCTGTATATTCTCTAGCGGTTTTATGAACTTGGAATGGAACTGTCAGGAATAAGCTTATAAATGTTCTTAGCGCTATCTATGATGTGTG